GAAGTTGTGGTCCAAACAGATGGTGCTGAAGCAGCATTCGTGGTGCACATAAGCGTCGCAGTATATTCAAGCATAGCGGTGTAAACAGTCATTGGTGTACATACGGCTGCTGTAGTATACGCAGGCAGTGTGGTGTACGAAAGCACTGTTGTGCAGATGTGCAGTGCGGTGTACACAAGCAGCTGTGGTGCGCAAAAGCGTAGCGTTGTACTCTAGGTAGGCATTGCGGTGTACACAGACATGGTCGGCCCCAAACTGGGGGGCACCGCGCCCTGGGCCATAACAAATTAGTATTCACAGACAACTTACACGTTGAGCTTGATACCTTCAGGCTCCCTGCGATTTGCCAGATGTTGACTTCGTCGTGACTTTGGAGGTGCACGGAAGCGCTGTCTGTGGCGCAATTGTTCGCCATGCGTTGTGGTGTTCGCGGCTCCTGATGCGTGCGCAAGCAACAGCGGGTACACAAGGGCTGTGGTGCACGCGGCTGCTGTACTGTACACATGCACTGTGTTGTTCTCAGGCACTGCTGTCTAGACATGCGCTGTTCTGTACAAGGGCGCTGTGGTGTCTTGTACACTAGACAGGCACCGTGGTGTGCGCAGACATGGTCGCCCCCAAGCCGTACCCTGGGCCAGAAAAATCAAACATCACAAATAAGTTGAATACTAAATTTGGTACGTTCGGGCCGCCTTCGATTTTCCAGATTTTGGTCCCGTCCCGTCGGGACCTTGGAGGTGCAAAGAAACGCTTTGGCGCAAATATTTGCCGTGCGATGTGGTGCACGCGGGTCTTGTGGTGTGCACAAGTATCGGTTTGTACAGAGGCGTTGTAGTGAAAGCGGAAGCTGCTGCTTCAGCGGTCACCTGTTGTGTACAAGAGCGCTGTTGCGCCCGCATTCTTTATAGTGTTCGCAGGCACTGTGGTGCACCCGTGCACCTATAGTGTGCACAAGATTCAGCGGCTACTCTCATCAATCCCATCCCGCGCATCCCAATGCTAGCTGTCTGGACATGTCCTTGGGAATTGTTAGACCGCGCCCGCATCGTCGCAGCACCAACAGCAGCACCGTCGCAGCATCGTCAGCAGCTGTATGGGGCCGCGGCACCGGTGCGCGCGGGCATATGCAGGACATCCCAGGTCATCGCCGACCCGAAAAAACATTCTTCAAGCAGTGGCGAAGCGTCCTGGCTTGCCCATAGCCCTACCAAACAATGTCCTCAGAACCGTTTGTGGTTCCAACGAAATGTTCTTAGAACATTTCTGGATGGGATTGTTTTGGTTTCACACATCGCGCTTATGTTATAAGAAGATTGCTTTCGTTCTTGAAACATGTTTGGGCCCTAAGCACATTTCGTGGTAGGACTATAGGAATGCCGGGACAGTCGGTCCCTGCTCAAATTCTCTTGCTGACCCTTAACCGTTAACCGTTCTGACAAAGACCTCCCAGCAGGTGCCTCCCAAACTCGGGAGTCCTCAGGCCCAGCATCTCGGATGGCATGCTGCCTCAGTCCGGGCGTGTCTCCTCGAGTTCGCCCCCTCGGAGCCCGTCATCGGTGTCGCGAGGCCTGCAGGGCCATCAGATGTGGATCTGGGGCAAGCATCTGGCTCCGTTGGGAAGGGGTCGGCCTCGAGGGCCGCGCATTGCAGCAAACACATTGGCGGATGTCTGGGAATGGCGCGGTGACAACATCGTGTGGTACAGTGGCAAACCCATGCCAAGAAACACCCTGCTTGCCTCCAGTGCCCCGGGTTCCTTGGGTTTTGATGGTTTTACTACGGGAAGCGTGACGCTCCCACGCCAAAAATCAATGGGCGTCCTGGGGTCTCAGGGTTGGGTATGTGGAAGGTTTCTTGTGGTCTAGCTCCTACTCTAAGTCAGTTCAGGCCTCCCAAACTGGGCCCGAGCAGATGGGGTCGGAGGATCGCGCTGCGTCGCCGACGAATCGGCGATGCCGCTTGATGTGGGGCCCAGTGTTCTCCACGCTTGCGACGACAACGCATCGGCGATGCAGTGGTGATGCGAGACGGTCCTCCGACCACATCGTCGCCTCACGGTCTGTCACCGCGCCGTTCTGGGACCCCAAAGGGGCAGTCGAGTCGCCGTGCAATCTTCGCAACCCTTGACGGTCTGGAGGAGAGAAAACGCATTTCGCCTCAGCCCCCTTTTTCATAGGAAACGTGAACGACTCCAGAGCAAACAAGGCCACCCCCTGGCGAGGAGGTCCGCGATGCCTCCCTGAATTGGGGATCGGAGGTGTCTCGACTGGTACGCCGCAAATCATTTACACCACACCACCACGTGGACCCTTCTCTGACCCTTGGTGATGGTATTTTGCATAGATCTTCTGAGGTCCCCAGGTATCCTTGGGAGGCCTCCGTGGGTAATACCGACCCTCGATGAAGCTTCAGAATCGTCTAGAACCCCCGTGATCCTCGAGTTGCGGCAGCGGCGACGGCGGGGACGACGACGACGGCGACAGCGAAAGCGCCGACGACGATGGCGACTACGACGGCAACGACGGCGACCGTGACCCGCGACTTGACGGCGACTGCGAAGGCGACGACCTCGACGACGCCCACGACGACGACGACCACGAGAACGACCACGACCACACCCCGAGCACGACCACGACTACGACCACGACCACCATCCCGATCCCGAATACGACCACAACGACCACGACCGCCACGACAATGGCGACGGCAGTGACGACCACAACGCAGACGGCGGTGGCGACTGCGATGGCGGCGAAGACGCCGGCGGCGCCTCGGGCGGCAACGGCGACGGCGATCGAGACGGCGACGGCGCCCGAGACGGCGACGGCGCCGGCCGCGGCGGCGGCGGCGGTAGACGACAACGGGAGGGCGTCAGCGCGCCGATGGGCGGCGCGCACCGCGAGCCGAGGCCCCGGCATCGCGGGCAGCGCACGGCCACCCCGCACCCACGAGTTCGTGTCCACGATCAGCCTGGGGACCCCGCCGCAGGAGCCTCCCCTCAAGCAGTGGCGAAGCGTCCTCGCTCGCCTATCTACCAAATAATGTTCTCAGAATCTTTTTTGGTTTCCACGAAATGCTCTTGGAACATTCGTGGCTGGGACTGTCTTATTGTATCACATCGGGTTCATGTTCTAAGAACCTTGTTCTTGCTCTTAGGATGTTTTGTTGGGCTCTAGGAACATGCCGTGGTAGGCCCATAGCAATGCCGGGACGGTCGATCCCTGCTCAATCCCCGCGGCGCGCGCGCTAACCTTGCGCAGGCGCCTCGCCGCCGCCGCTGCCGCCGCCGCCGCCGGCGGTCGACGTCGAGGTTCGCGCTTCCTCGGCGAGGCTTTCGGGCACCCTCGCTGGTTCTTGCTGGAGGTGTGCCTGTGCCCCGGGCTGCGTTCCGGCAGCTGCGCCTCGCCGGGAGCGGTTCTGACGGGGGTGCCCACAGCGCCCCGCACGGCCGCCAGAGGCCCGAGCTGCGACCCGCCGAACGGATGATGTCCCAGAGGAGGAAAGGGTACCCGTGCCTCTACCCTCCCCTCGTGCTCCTCCTTTTGGGCCTCCCGGGCCTCCGCCGTCGTCACCGCTGGATTCGCCTCGAAGTCTTGGTCAGGAGGCACCCCAGGAGAGGTCCCGGAAGTAGCGGTATCGGTACCTTTTTGGTTTCCGCCATGTCGAGCATCCTGTGCATGGTTCGGGACCTCGTCGGGCCCGCGGTTGTCCCTTGAGGCCTCCGATGACTTGGGGGCGCTCCCTGATTGGGGGCCCTCTTTATGGAGACTTCCGCACACGTCCGGAGGTCTTCGCCGCCGCCGCCGCTGGTGTCGTCGCCGCCGTGGCTGCCGTCGCTGCCGTCGCCGTGGTCGCTCTTCCTTTCCCTCGGCTCTCGCTGCAGTGACATCAATCGGTCGCTGAATTTTACAAGTGTGTGCGTGTGTGTGTGTGTGTTTGTGTGTGCGTGTGTGTGTGTGTGTGTGTGTGCGTGCGTGTGTGTGTGCGCGTGTGTGTGCGTGTGTGCGCGCGTGTGTGTGTGTGTGTGTGTGCGCGTGTGCGTCCCGCGGCGTTTCTTGGGAACGCGCGCGCGAGAGCGTTTCCCCCTGGCCACAGCTCTGGCGGCGCAGAAGGAGCCTCGGCTGAGCGATTGTTGTTTGTGTGCACTTGGTTTTCGCAAGTTCACGTGCATGGAATTCTGCGCCGCCGCCTACCTGTCCGACGCCTGCTGGAGCAATGCTGATCCGAAAAAGCGTGCAGAGTAGCTTCGATGTGCGCGAAGTTCAGAGTTCCTTTCGGGCCTCACCAGCCCGCCCTCCCAATCCATGCAAGCAGGAATATTATGACAAGCAGTCTCACAAGAGAACGGGGGACGGCCTGGAGATTCTCGCTGAAGCTGCCCGCGAAAGGTCGTGCGTAAGTGCCCCGCTCTGCCACGCCGCGTGGCGAATTGGCTGACTGTGTAAGCTATCGCGTGAGGTATCATCGTCCTCGCGCCTCGCGTTGTCGTTTTGGTGCTGTCAGCCAACAGTGCGAGTCAAAGTCCTCGAGTCTTTGAAACTGATCGATGTCGACAAGCCCTAGGCCCCAGTGGAAAGACTCTTCCCGTCCACGCGGCCCCGCCCCTTGGACGGGCAGGGGCGTGGCATAGGCAGAACAGAGCAGGCTCTTTACCGGCCCCCAACAGCCCAAAACATCACTCGGCGCAGGAGGTTCGGGGCCGGCTTCTGGCTGCTTTCTTGTGCTTGTCTTTGCACTTCTGGATATCTTATACACCTTAGGCGTTCGATCATGGACCGCTTGTTGAACGCAGTCATCCAGCTCTCGCGCCGAAGACCGCTGGAAACTGTCAAACACCGCCGGAAACAGCCGAAGATTGTCTGAAGACTAGTGGAGACCGCCGACCGTCCGTAGACCGCCGAAGACCGCCGAAGACGGCCCAGGAGCGATGTGCAACAAGGGGTCCATGGTCGAACACGTCACTGTCCTCCCCTCCGCCAGCGCCGGACGAGACCGTGCCGGCTTTCGCGGACGCTTGGGCGCCCAGGAGGCCTTCCAAAGCGGCCTCCCCCTCCTCCCCCTCCTCTTCCATTTTGTTCCTTATCCATAAATTCTCCCTGTCGCACCCCGAGGCCAGTTTTTAGGGAGGGCCGGGCGTTTCGCTTGAAGCCTGAAAACGAAAAGAGCTTCACAGATTGAGGGCGGGTCGTTTGTAAATTGTGGCTCCCGCTCAGTGCCACGCACATTCGATTTACACATTTGCAATAGTTTCACGGATTGAGGGCGGGTCGTTTGCAAATTGTGGCTGTCATTGTTAACGCCGCGCACATTCGCTTTAACATGTTGCAAGAGTTTCACGCTTGAGGGCGTGTCGTTTGCAACATGTGGTTCTGCCTTAGCGCCGCGAGCATTCGCTTTAAACATTTGCACGAGCTTCACGGCTTGAGGGCGTGTCGTTTGCAAATTGTGTCTCTCATTTTAGCGCCGCGCATATTCGTTTAAACATGTTTGCAAGATCTTCACGGCTTGAGGGCGTGTCGTTTGAAACATGTGGTTCTCGCCTTAGCGCCGCGAGCATTCGCTTTAAACATTTGCAAGAGCTTCACTGCTTGAGGGCGATTCCTTTTAAAGTTTGGTTCTCGTTTTAGGGCCTCGTGCTTTCATTTCAATCAGATGCAAGAGTTTAACGGATTGAGGGCATGGATTCGCTGTGCTGAAGTCCCAGGAACGGCGTTCTGGCACCACTCAGAACCGTCAAGACGCAGCAGTCAGGTTGATCCGTGGCGTTGGAATCTCGAGAACAGTTTTCTGGCATGCTTCAGAGTTGCCAAGCGGTTGTCTTCCAACGCGGCAGTTCTATCAGTGGAAATGAACCGTTATAGGGGCCTATGGAGAGGGAGCTTGGAGGGAGGGTTGATTCCATCATCGTTGATGACTCTTGGGTTTACAGTTGTCCTCCTCCTCGTCCTCCCCCTCCTCTCCCTCCTCCTCCCCCTCCGCCTCCTCCCCCTCCTCCTCCTCCTCCCCCTCCTCCTCCCCCTCCTCCTCCCCCTCCTCCTCCGCCTTCCCTCTCCAGACTCCTTCCCCTCCTCCCCCTCATCCTCCCCCACCCAGGGCTCTCAGGGCGCCTCCCATCTGTCCTGTGCGCTACAATTCGAGAGAGGCAGAACCATCTCGACCCCGACAATTGGCGTTCACTAGACAACCTTTTACCGTTTGCGAAACAGCCCTGCCCTGCTCTATTTTTGTTGTTGTGTTTTTTCAACGGCTTCGCTTGTCGTGGTGCTTGTTATGGGGGTGTTTTTTTTGCTCGCTAACATAACGACGTCTAAGGTTCGCTAGGGATTGGGTTCCTTTCAGAACAGCCGAAACCGTTCCGAAGCCCTTTGAAGACCCTCTGGGAATGGTTCCGGAAGGCTGTTCGGAGGGTTGCGGGAGGTTTTTGGAGGGTTTTCGTCGTCCTGGGGGGAGACCAGTCTTTACTTAGCGAGCCCAGGGCCTTCTGACTCTAACGATTCCCACTGTCGACTTCTGGCGCTGGCAGCGTCCGTGGGCTGCTTCTCGGCCTCGAGACCCGTCGACAAGGCGCGTCCTGGTCAGCGCTCCAGCCAGAGCTTGGCAGGGGCCACGAAGAACGCCCCCAGAGTCCCAGAGAGCGTCGCCAGCCTCCGCCGTCGATCCTGGATCCTCCTCCTTCAAAATCACCTCCTCCTCTTCTATCCTCCTCCTCCTCCTTTTCGATCCTCCTCCTCGATCCTCCTCCTGGATTCTCCTGCATCCTCCTCCTTCAAGGTCCTCCTCAAAGCCAGTCCACAATTCACTCGGATTCAATCTCCAGGCCGCCCTTGGAGTCCACCCTGGCAGCTTCCCAGTACCCAGATCCATTTCGTATGGCCCCTGGGCCCGAGACTGCCTCCAGAGGCAGAGCATGGCGAAGAACCCGCTCGAATCGCGACCCTCGACCTTCGGCTCTCCTCGACCCTCGCGTCGACCCTCCCCCCCCGGCCCGGAGAAGCTCACGTGCCTCGTCGACACCAGTGTCAGCGGCCTCTGGGTGATGCCCGCGAGCGGCTGCTCTGGCTGCGCCGGGCGCGGCCGCTTCGAGGCGCGGCGTTTGTCGTTTGCGTCGTCGTCGTCGTCGCAGCAGCCGAACGCCAAACACCAACACCAGGAACAAGCACGCGACGCACCAGCGTGCGAGTAATCGTCACGACCCGCCTGGACCCGGAAGCGCCGCCAGTGTTGCTCTCGCCGCCCAGAGGCCCTCGGGGAGTGTGCCGGGCCTTAGGGCCGTCGGAGAACGGCTCGGGATGACGAGCAGGCCCTTACAGGGGCAGGTGCCAGGAGGTCCGGGGGCCCAGGCCTTGCTGAGAAGCCGCGACCGCGACGTCTGGGTGTGGGGGGGGGGGCCGACGTCGTGTTCCTCCTCCTCCTCCTTCTCCTCCTTCTCCTCCTCGCGCATTCGGTTGGGAGCCGGCCCTCCCTCCTCATCCTCCCGAGGAGAAGGAGGAGCAGGAGGAGGAGGAGGAGGAGGACGGGGGGGAGGGGGAAGGGCAGGGGGAAGGGTAGGGGAAGAGGAGGGGGAGGAGGCGGAGGGGGAGGAGCCATCGCTCACCCTCGCTGGAAAGGCGCAAGGCGGCGCATGCGCACGAGCGCGCCGCCGCCCCGCGCCGCGAGCGGCCCCCTCCCTTGTTTCTCGCAAGACTCTTGCGCGCGGCGCCGCGCCGCGTCGCCCCCCCCCCCCCGTCCAGACCTCTCCCCGGGACGTCGCCGTGGCGCTGCGGCGAGAGGCACGTCACCAGAGGTTCACGCACACCGTACGCATACACGTGCCGCTCACAAAGCGAACCGAAATGCCTCGTGCCTCGAGCCTCCTCGTCTCGTTTGTTGTTTCGTTCGAGGTGGTGCCGCAGCCCTGCGCCGCGGGACGCGTGCTCACTGCGTCAGGATGCCCGTGGCGCGCTCGCTCCCCGTCGCGCCATCCTCCCCTCCTCCGCTCTCCGCTCGCCCCCACTTCCCCCTCCAGCCCAGGAGCTCCCCCCAGTGTCTCCCAACAACTCCGTCCTCCTCCCCTCTCCTCCGACGACGCAGATGCTTTTAATCCTGAGTCGTTTTTGGACGGTCCTGGGGCCTGCGGCCATCTGGAGGCCGAACACGTCCAAGTTCTGGCCGTCGCGTCTTTCGTTGCGTCGCTTGGATCGCAGGGTCCATCTCTGCCTCCTTCACCTCCTCCCGGCCAGGTGAACCGGTCGAGCACCTTCTCCGGCATGACGTCCACAGAGGTGCAGCTCCACGCTGGGAGCAGCAGGGAGGAGGAGGAGGAGGGCGGCGGCGGTCGGCGCACGCGGTGCTGCCTCAGCGCGCGGCCTCCAGAGCTGGCGTCGGTGATCCAGAGGTGCGCATTTTCTACCGTAGTCCTGGGCCCCTGATATCGAACCCCTGAGGATGATAAGGTCGGGGTCCAACGGGGATAATAAACGTTTCCCAGAGATCGCAGCATGATGATGATGACGACGACGATAATGATGCTGATGCTGATGCTGATGCTGATGATGATGGTGATGGTGATGGTGATGATGATGATGCTGCTGATGATGATGATGCTGATGGTGATGATGATGAGGAGGATGATGATTCTGATTCTGGGCGACTCTCTAGATCCTCGCTCTGATGGTCCTTGGCGCTGCTCGATACCTGGCACCTAAAGCATGCCTACGCTGTGGAGGTCCTTGGCGCTCCTCGCCAGGAAACCTCTCTTGCAAACCAGCTCGATCAATCGCCCATGCCCGACATCGCTTGGAACAGTCCTTGCACGGGAGGCATTTCGTGCATGCTAGCGTTGCAGCGCTTGCCTCCTCGAAGGTCTGGTGCTTGGGCTCTAGCGCGGTCGGGTCCTTCGGCGGCTGGTGCACCGCGATCAACAAGTGGTCGGGCTTCTCGGCTCTCTCGGCTCAGCGCTTCTGCTCCTCAGGCTGCTGGGCGGTGGGCTTGTCCTTGCCCTGGCTTTCTCGAGCCCACCGTGGGTCGACCACCACAACGGTGTCAGGGACGCCCACGCGCTCCTCGATCTCGCCGAGCAGCGCGGGCATCGTGCCCAGTTCGAGGGTGTCGCCCTTCTTGATCTGCTTGCAGTTCATGATCGCACACAGCTTGACGAGCTCGGTGCGCCGAGGTTCCCTGCAGCTGCGCCAGTCCAGCTTGGGCGGCCTGGGAAACTTATAGTCCCGTTGGACCGTGACCTGTGAGGCCCGGGCGGGGCACAAGCACTCGTTAGCTTCCGCCTGCTTCCGCCTCCTGGCTCCAAGCTTCCACCAGCTGCCGCCTTCGTTTCTGCCAACTTCCGCCGCTGGCCCCATCGCCCTGCCATTCGTTCGTGATTTGGGAACGCTGCAATGGTGAGAATCCCATAGCTCACACGCTCCTGACTTGGGAATGGCTGAGAAAGTGAGAATCCCATAGCCCTGCCACACGTTCGTGACTTGGGAAATTGACATCGTGAAAATAGTACGGCCCTGCCACGCGCACCTGACTTGGGAAGGGCTGAGAACATGAGATTCCCACAGCCTGGCCGCGCGTCTGTGACTGGGGGAAGCTGGTGAAAATCCGATTGCTGCTTTGCCACGCGACCGTGACTAGGGAAAGCTGAAGTGGTGAGGATCCCGTAGCCCTGCCAAACGTTCCTGAGTTGGGAACAACGGGGAAAGAAATAATCTCATGCCCCGCCACACGTTCGTGACTAGGGAAAGCTGAAATGGTGAAATTAATATGGCTCTGCCACACGTTTCTGACTTGGGAAGGGCTGCGCAAATGAGAGTCCCATAGCCCTGCCACACATTCGTGACTTCGCATCCGTCCTCGTTCCCGCCTTCGCGTCCGCCGCTTCCCGTTGTTTCCCGCCAGCTTTCGCTGTCCTCTTCCCTCTTCCCTCCTCCCCCCTCCTCCTTTTCCTCCGCCTCATGCGGAAGCGGGCGAAAGCTAAGGAATGCCTGTGAGCCTCCGAGCCTCGGTGAGCCTCCGAGCCTCGGTGCCTTAGATCTGGAAGATCACCGCGGTCCCCACCTCGTGCGCTCGGAGACTGTAGTGTTCCTCCGTGTCCAGGGATCCCCTCCGGCCACGCCTCCGCCCAGGTGCTCGAGCGGGGCCTCGCCGCCAGTCTCGGCGCTTTCCCGCGCTGCCACTTTCGCCGCAGCTTGCCCAGGAACTGGCCCGAGAACTTGGCCGCCCACCTACTCCTGCGCGCAGTGTTGCGTTGGAGGTAGAGTCGGTTCTCGATGGCGCGCGGGAGCTGGATATCCTTGATTCGGTCCTCGGGTGGCCTGAGCATGCTCCTCTGCTCGTGTGTGAGCTTGAGGTCCAGGTCTCAGAGCTCCAGAAGGAAGGGGCCCGCGTCCTCCTCTTAGTTCCTGGGCAAGTCTTCGAGGCGAACGCATTCGCCGTCGTGGACGTTCCAGTCGGGGACTGGCGGCGCGTCCTCGGGCCAGTTCTGGATGCCCTCCCGGCGTTCGCTCGCCAGCTTCGGTTCGATGTCGCGGACGGGCTCGACGGAGTAGCTCCAGGCTCCAGGCCCGCTGCGGGCTTGAACTCGCCTTGCTCTGTCGGCCAGACCACGAACATCTGATTCGCTGGCGGCCCTTTGAGCGGCGCCGCCTCCTTGCGCCTGTCGCGGAAGCGGGCGTGGGCTTCGGAGGCGCAGTGGAGGCATTCGGTATGCCCCAAGTGGGTCGGGTCTTTGTACTTTTTCTTGGGCTCGGCTTTTTTTTCGTTCGGATCCAATCGTGTTCCATCGTCCTGCGCATGTCGGCATGCCTCTCGGATCGCGGCCTCGAGTTGGCTGTGCTCGTGGGCGTCTGGCTCCTGCAATCGCGACGTAGGGGGCCACGGCCACGCCGCCGGGGATGGGGATCGGATAAACGATACTCACCCAGAAGGTGTTTATGCCGCCTTTACCAGGACCTTACCAGGATGCGCCACGTCCTTCAGTAGTCGTGACCACATGCGGATCCCCCGTCGAGCAGAGGTGCTGGCAAGTTTTCGGAGCCTGCTGCTGCAGCGTCGAGTCCGAGGACGTCTGCTGCAGCGTAGGCCCCCGCTCGCCCCACTCGAAGAAGGAACGACTTTCGACGGTCCCTGCGGCTCTTTGGGGATCGGCGCTGGGGCCCCCTGGCGGCGCCTCCGGCGCCACCCCCTGACGCGCTCCGCGCGCAAGGGAGAGGGGTCCAGCGCAGATCCAAGAAATCCGCGCGGACTTCCGAAGGGTTGTCGTTACGCCGTTTCTTCTTCTCATTCGTCCCTGTCGTACTCTTGCTAGTTTTGCTAATTGTACTCTTTTGTGCTCCTTTCCTCATTCTCAACCACCTTTTTCCTTCCTTCTCCCTTCCGTCTCCTGTCTCTTCCTCCTCCTCCTCCTCCCCCTGGCTCCTCCTCCTGGGGAACTGGCGAGTCATACAGTTGTTTTCTCCTGGGCGCGAGCATGGCCGGGCCAGCGCCTCTTCTGGCAGCCCCGAGCCCCCGCGGGAGGTGCGGGCCCCGCGGTACCTGGGCGACGACTCTAATGGGCCGGACGTGTGGGGCCTGCCCTTTGAGGACCTGCTGGGCGTCGGCCCCATGGAGCTCCCGGGCCAGGAGGGCCGTGCTGCCTCGGCGTCCGAGGAGGAGGACGACGACGACGACGACGACGACGACGACGATAACGATAACGACGACGACGACGACGACGACGACCACGACCACGACCACGACCACGACCACGACGACCACGACCACGACCACGACCACGACCACGACTATGGCCACTGCCACGTCGAGGAGGAGGATAAGGAGGACGACGACAACGACGACTGGGTCAGGAGCGCGGTCGCCACGACCCGCCCCGACGGCGTCGTCGTTCTCGTTGTCGTCTTCCTCCTCAGCCTTCTCCGTATCTTTTCGTTCGCCTTCATGCTGTGAGTAGCAGCAGAAGGGCGAGGGAAGGAAGGAGAGGGTCGGAGAGAAGGATACTGGGAGGGGCGGGGCGGGGGCAGGAGGAGGAAACACAAGGATCGGTGGAGGTGGCGGGAGGGAGACAGGGAGGGGGAGCAGGAGGAGAAGGAGGAGGAGGAGGAGGAGGAGATCGGGAGGGGCAGGAAGAGCACTATGAGGAGGAGGAGGAGGAGGAGGAGAAGGGGGGATCGTTGGTGGAATGGAGTGCGGATCCACCACCGCCTGCGTAAACGCATGGACGCGTCTGCGCTGGAGCCCGTTGCATCTCGGACGCTTCCACCAGCTGACCCACCGCAGATGACAATTCAGTAGTCCTCCTTCTCTTGCCTTCCCCGCATTCATTGCTCCCTCCCGTCGCCCCCCTCCCGCGGCCACACTGCGGCTGCCAGGAATCTCCTGCCATCTCCCTTCCTCCTTACCCATACCCCCGACGCCGTGTTTTTTGTTCACGATGTGGACCCCTACAGATTTGACCACTTCCCCCTGACCGGCTTTCCATCCTGAGTCGATGTTTGTCGGCCCCCAGCCCAGTTTATGGCTCCCGGAAGCAGAGTTTGTCGAGCCCACGAACCTTGTGAGGATTTCCAGTCAGACAATATTCTGACATGTGTGTAATGCCATGGCGTGGCATATTTCGGTTCTCACTGCAATGCTAAGCTGTGCTGCGTGGCCTTGCGCGGCCGCTCACTTCATCAGGCGTTTGGGGCCTCCTGGAGCCCCCTGGTGTCTCCTGGGACTGGTGCCTGGGGTCTTTCAGGATTACCCGGAGCCTCCTCCTCTTCGTCCTCGCCCCTTCCATCCTCATGCCTCTCCTTATGATCCTTATTCTAAGTATTATGATTCGTACTCTTCTTCGTTTTCTCCTCATTTCCGTATGCTTATGCTTATAATATTATGTGTCCGTCCTCCTTCTAGGTCCTTCTCATTTTCCCTTGTGGTGATCCTTCACTGACATCGCACATTCGCAAGCTCTCTGGACATTTGATCTTTCTGGACACAGCTGTTTCGAAAATCTCAATTTACACAGTTCATCCCACACATCTTTCAAGATCGTATGCTCTTGAAGATGTCTCAGGCAAGAGCCCCGTTCCTGAAGAGATGTCGGTATCGCATGCTCACCGGGCATTGTTTTTTTTCGGAGGATGCCTGCAGCGAGAGCCCAATGTTTGAGTCACGACATTGGACTGCTCTGGTTTCGCCACTTCATTTTTTGAGGATGTCTTTTGCGGCAGTGTCATGTTTGATAAATTCGTCAATTCGCAATCGGTCTCAACATGTCAATTGTCTCAGATTGCTTCCAGCGAGAACTTCATTTTGTTAGAACGCATGCCGTACAACAAATCCTCGACCAGCCTTCCGATGTGGGGAGGACATCTCAGGCGAAACGCCCCCCCTCCACATCATGCTGGATATCCGAATCCCGCTGCTCGACACCTCCCCGGTCTGGGGCCAAAGGCCCGACAACAAAACGAGAATTTAGGGCCAAAGCCCTTCCCGATAAAAGGGCGCACCACCGTTCGTCGTGGCTCGTGTTCACTGCGCCAAGAGGTGTGGGTATGTTTCTTCCTCCTCATTCTTGCCATGGGCTGCCTCTGGGACAGGATGCAACTCTTGGGAGGTTAAATGTTGAACCGGCGCTCATGTCTCCTTGGTCGAATACTCTTGCAATTTGGCCGAATCCCGCTCAATCCCGTGCAAGACCCGCTGAATCTTGCTTGATCCCGCTGAATCCGGCCTACTCTCGGACTGATTCCCGTCTAGTGTGGCAGAGGGGCTTGTGAATCGATCTTAGTAGCCGTAAGTTGTTCTGACGAGGTCCCAGGAGCTGTCTCCTAATCATGGGCTGCCTCCGACACGATTTGATTTGGCAGCAACTCGCAGAAGCCTTGCATGCTCCCGCAATGCTGTCTCTCGAGTGCAGCAGCGTGTGCGCCAGCGTCCTGTAGTCGATCAGAGGGCGGCGGCCCAGCGTCGATCGGAGTTGATTTGCAAGAGCCACCTAGATAAAAGAGGGGAGACCCCTATGATCGGCGGCGGGCGAGAGGGGGAGGTGAGCAGGAGAAGGTCTTCTCAGAAGGCGGCGGGACTTCTCAGAAGCCCTCGCGCATTCGGGGCAGTTTTTTTGTCTGACTTCGGGGGAGGCTCAGGAAACTGCTCAGAAGGCCCGGGGGCTTCCGAACCTTCTGAGGAGGCCTTCTCCTTCTCGCGTCCCCCCCTCGCTCGCCGCCGATACGAGGTGCCACGGAAAGCTTGACCCTCGCGCCGCCAGGGCCTGAACCTGCTGACCTCCGCGCCCTCGCAGGCCCGCCGCGCGGGCCTCTGCGGCGCCCCCCCTCACTGCCCCTTTGGCATCGCTCGGACGTGTGCATTGCTCCCTCGGCGAGGACCATCGAGGAGCATCCTTGATCATCTGGCGAAACAACCACGCGCGAATCCGACAAAAAAAACAGGGAATGGACGTCCGAGCGATGGCCAGTGCCCGCTCCTGGCCCGGGCAGGCGAGAGGGGGGCGGGGCCTCTCCTCGGAGGGCGGCGGGGCCTCCGCGTGGAGCGGGTTGACCCAAACAGGGGGGTCCAGCGACAGCGGGGGTGGTGCAAGGGATTTGGTGCAGGGCTGGAGTTTCGCGTGCAATGCATCACTCGCATAATGCGATGCAGCACAGTTCTCCGGCGCACTGCATTTGCAACACAGTGGCCCCAAGCCTATTGCACCACACCCCCTTTCAGCTGGACCCCCTTGTGGGTCGCCCAAGGTGGAGCCGCCGGCGTCCGAGGAGGCTCTGGGAGCTTCTCGGAAGGCCCGAGGCCGCGCGTCAGAGGAGGAGATCAGGCGACCGCAAACATGGATCCAGGGGGCGTGGATTAGCGACGGGTGACGGGTCCCGCTTCCATGGGGAATCGCGGATTTCCGCCGCCGAGCGAGGCGGCACCGGCCGCATCTTGGGGAGGGCACCTCCCCCGATCCATGGATTTGGCGACCGCGCGACAAGTGCATGGTTTGCTAATCCATGTGTGCGCGCCCCTGAGGAGAGGGTAACCACAGCTCTACCCTTCCCTTTGTTTTTCTCCTCTTGCGGCCTCCTGTGGGGCTCTCGTCTTCACCCCTGGATATTCGCCTCGACTTCTGGTCAGGACGCCTCCCGGGAGAGAGGTCCGGGGAGCACCGGTATCGGTACCTTTGGGCCCGCCCCCTCCGACTCTCCCCCCCAACGAACTCGGAGGTTGATTGACCTCCTACCCTGACATGTCGATCATTGAATTGGCCCTTTTCGGTTCTCGAGAGGGCGTCGCGGCCGTTATTTTTGCGGGTCCAGGTCCGTCGGTTTCGGCCCTAGGCCGTTTTCACTGAAGGGGGGTTTGTCCACCGCCGACGAACAGCACACAGACATGCACCCGTACCCACAGAGGTTTCGGGAGGGAGGAGGATTGGCTCAGGGTGTGGGCATGGGCGCGGGTTCTCGGACCGCGGGGGAGGCTCCCGTTCGAGCGGGGACCCCCCTCCGACAGCAAGCACCCATGGCCCCCTCCGTGCCCCCCAAGGGTACACATTGTTCGTTTCCAATTCTTCGAAGATGCCTTGATTTTTTGGGGGGCCAAGATCCTTTCATCACTAATCGTTCTGTCCTGGGCCTCTTCCTGGCCACTGGGGGGCCAGGAACAAGTACAAACGAGCACAATCAGAAATGAGCACGATTAGAAAAATGAACGACGTATGTGGTCGGGACCTCGCAAGGGGGGGGGGCCACAGGCGGGAGGGGGAGTTCGGTCCGTTGGTGCATCGAACCGCAGAGGAACGGTGCAAAACGAGGTCTCCGGCCGCCGCAGGAACCCGAGAGGCGTCGACAATGGGGGCGCGCGGGGGGCATCGCTTTTCGGAGATTCGATGCGCCAGCGGATCGAACTTAACCCCCCTTCTCAGGGCCCCCCCCCTTTGGTGGACCCCGATATGGGCCCGTGTTGTTCGTTCGTCCCCCCCATGGGCTCGACGCCGAATCTCGGGGGCGTGGTGCCGTCTCGGTGTCGGGCGCGCTGCAAGGTGGTGCGCTCCCGGCGCGCCCCTGGCGAGGCTCCTGGGCTCGGGCGGGAGCGGCAGGCTGCGGCGGCCCCCGAGGGTTGAGTAGGAGATCGACTACGGAATTGATTTACCCCAGAAATTGACTTCCACGTCGAATCTCAAACAGATTCACGTAGAATATCCGTAGATTTGCGAAAGTTCCACAACTGTTCCGCGGCTGCGACGAAGAGAATCAATTCTGGGGTAAATCAGTTCTGTAATCGATCCCCTACTCGAGAGGCCTGGTCGCTGCAACTCTTCCACACCGGGCGTGTTCGGTCAGGTTCTCGGAGGAGCACAGGGCACCCATACCTATACCGCTACACTTCGCCCGTTTTCCCCTTGTCTACCCTCCTGGGAGGCCCCCGTCGCCACCACTGGATTCGCCTCGGAAGCCTGGTCAGAACGCGCCCCAGGAGAAGTCCGGGGAGTAGCGGTGTCGGTGCCCTGTGGTTTGCGCAGTTTCGGGCCCCAGGTCCATCACAGAGCCGTTTGGCTCGAACAATGCCGCAGAAAGATGGAGTCCAGGTTTTTGGGTGTGATTTTGCGCTATGCTGCAATTCTTCGCGGCGTCGAATATCTGGGGGACAAGAGCGGGTCAGGAGGGATGGTCAAGATCAGGAGGGAGGAGGGTTCAAGGAAGGGGGGCGAGATCCGGAATCTGAAGCCTGCATGGTTCCAAGCCGGGAGCCTCCTCCTCTGAGAGCCAGGTTCCAAAGTTCCAGAGGAAGATGAACCACGAGGGGCAGCAGAAGATCCACGGGGATGCGGCCCCGGACCGCCCTCGCGTCGTGAAGACATCGTGCCGGCAGGTTTTCTGGCAGTTCTCGGCCCCTGCAGGGCCCCCGCCGCGCCCCGCGAAGGTCGGGAACGACTCAGGGTGAGCAGCCGGTCCCGGGGACAGGGTGGACGCAGCCTCTAGGACGGAGCAAGACCTCTTGTTTCCCCTGCTGCGGCGGCCTTCTTGGAAACAGTTTGTGGGCTTCTCCGGCGCCAGCGATTCGGATGATTCAGCGGATGATTCAGAAAGTCTCCGTCGTTGGCCGCAATGGTCACCCTTCTGGCCATCAAGCGTGCGGATGGCCCCATGTCGGGAGAGGGTCGATGCATGTGTTAAGTCGGGCCTGTCCCTTTACAGGGGGAATATTCAAACATTGAATCAAACAATAGTCTGGTTAAGTATTTTGGAGGTATTCTGGTGATATTTTTAATTTTTCGTCCAGAATCCCCCTGTAGGGGGACACGCCCGACCTAATGCTGGCCGCTCCTGTGACGTTGTCGCCGCCGCCGCCGCCGCCGCTCCTTGCCGCCAGGCGCACACGACCAAGGGCGTGGACTGGGACTCGGTCTGCGGGCTGGCGTGGCCCCGCGAGGACCCGCGGCCTCGCCACGTCCCTCGCATCGCGCCCGACTCGGCGATGGATTTGTCAATGCTCCCTCCCCGCTCGCTCCCCGTGCTTGCCGCCACCACCGACGCCGCCCGCAGCTGATGGGTTCGAGGACCGAACCGAGGATGGCGCGCCCTTCGCGCGCGTGGGGAAGCACGGGAGGGAGGAGGTCGCGTCGTTGCCGCCATTTTTTTTTTTTTTTGCTCTGTCCACCCTATCCTTATCCGAAATATCGCTCAACGAATCCATCGTGAGTTCATGGTACGCATAGACGCATACTGCACCATTCTCTTTAAACCCCACTTTTGCCGGGAGTCATGGTTCTCTGGCGAATGACTGGCTGCCGGCCGAAATTTTCATTGATGGACCAGAAACGCAGACGATTGCATCCAATAGTCACAACGGAATTGTTCATGCAGCGGACACCCACGCTCGGACTACAGTACTTTTGGCGGATGAGCCTATGAACGTCTTCCCTAAGGTACCAGTTTTTTCGTTTCTAGACGAATTATCCGCTCTTGCGGCAGAGGGTGGGTCGGCATTGGTTCAGCCGGCGGAGAAAGTAGACGATAAGGCACGCGAGTTGTCCGCTATCCTGTTTTATCGAATCTTGCATCTCATCCACTACAAGCAGGCTGGTTATTATCGTATAAGAATATCACACAAAAAGGGATAACACAGGGGTGACGCTTGGGACGAATATTCACAAGGCGCCCGGACATGTCAGCATGGACAACGACTCCCCAATTCTTGTCCCGAAAATGACAAGACATTTGGTTGATGAACAACAACACCCCTTTGAAGGTCAGGGGCTTGGACCACTCCCGATTCCAAATATATCCCCGCGCGGCGGTGGAAGAAAATTACTATCGCATCGCTTTCGGCATCCAGGTTGCGTAACCGAACAAAAAGCAGCCTAGGATGAGCCTTTTTTCGCTGGCATCTCATGTAATATTGACTGTTGGGCAAAAGTGCCAGGGTGCTGTAGCCCACAATCGTCCCAGCTACCAGTATGCGCATGGTGCTCACACAGCTGTCATTGTAAATGCTGAAACCTCAATTGGCTTCGCTCTGGATGTTTGAACATGAGGGAACCTACTTGCCACCACCTCGCCTTTTTGGAGTGGCATTAGGCAGAGGCGGAGAAGAGATCAGCCAACGACAAGGGGAATCGTGAAGAGTTGGCAGCACAGGCGCTGATTTTTAACGCCGGCAAAGACGAACATATTCGTCGAATTTGCATTGAAGCCGAATCCTCCCAGCGCGCCGTTCGACTGGCACAACTGAGCCAAAGTGGCTTTCCGGAAGCAGCCCGAAGGTCATTTGACGGAGGCTGAACAAAACACGAAATAACTGGAATCACCAACATCGCTGAAGCTCTCGGAGACGAAGAGCCGAGATGCAGGATAATTATATGCGAAAGAGGCCAGCATGCAACAACTACGGCAGAACGGTGAACATGGAGCAAGATAATATCATAGGTCGGCAAAGTGTGCGTTGCAAGAAAATGAAATACATGTTCTTGCGAGGATTCAACATGCACGGGAAGAAGCCATATCGATGGTACAGAATGCGCAGGATGAGCCTTCGTGGAGCAGAATGCTACTGATCGGACAGAGCAGGCTCAGACCGAATTGCACCTAGTCGCTGCTGATTCTGCGCGGCAAAGAGAACTGCGCAACGATTTGCTTGCACTCCACGGGGCGCGTGCTGTGGCCGTGCTCGGCGATGGAAGGATGCCAGCAGCGCCGCAGACTCGGCCTGTAGTACGGAGCGGTATTCAGATGGCCTCCATATCCATGGCGACGCAGAAGGGTGTGTCTCTTCAGGGGATGGCAGGAACGGCGACCGAGCTCTAGCTTCTGGCGCCGGAGCGTCATTCGCACCGTGTCCCGGAGGGCAGACCAAAAATACGCGTTGCAGAGGCTTCAGGACACGTTGAGACAGGGATTTGTTGTAGCAGCCCCAAGTCATAATACTGTGTCCAATTTTCTACGCCATGTTGCGGCAATCGTAGAACTTCGATGGCGAGACGATGTGAGCTCTGTGATCGCAGCTAATTGGCGGCCGAGTAGGACGCAGAGAGAAGGCCCCCAAGAGAAAAACCGTTGGCTTTCACAACGATGAGAAGGGCAGATGCGCATCGCTAGTAGTTTTTTTTTTTTTTTTTTTTTTTTTTTTTTTTTTTTTTTTTTTTTTTTTTTATTATATATTATATATATATATATATATAATATATATATATATATAAAAGAAAAAACGATGGGTCTGCAATCTACATACGTGAGAAACGCGATGAACTGGAGAAACCCAAGCGAGCTGAATCAATGAAACAGACATCGAAAACGCCCGATGCTGTGGAAACGGAGCGCAATCCCTCGGGACGCGCAGAGAAACCATGTCGCGGGCCTCCCCGCGGGGGCGGCGACGGTGGATTGGGCGGCGATAGAGGTGATCGCGAACCCTTGACGCATCCGTTTGAGCGCTGGAAACAGAGGGGGGGGGGATCGTCAGAGATCGCATCACAGTCGGTTTCTGACATTTCCTGTATGCGAGAGAGGAAACTACATACAACGAGGGTGGCACCATCCGCCTCATCCGATGCATCTGGCTTTATGTCAGAGATCACGCAAGCGCTTAATCTTGAGGTTGACGCGCAGGTTTCGCATGGGTCAGGCAAGCGCGAGCGCATCGACATGCTAACCACATCTGGCCTCGCGAAGAAGTTGTTGTTCCCAGATGAGACAGAACAAGGACCTACCTCCGCATCAATTTGACTTCATTTCTCAGGTGTCTCGCATGGGGAACGAGGCGCACACGGAATTTGGCCTGCTCTCTGGCCGAGAGATGGTGCGTCTGAGATGTCGATGGCATTCTATCCGCGCTGAACTCGGTCGGAATATGGCCGACATATTTTCAATGTCGTCGTTCGTGCGACTGTGCCATGTGCTGACCTTTGCCAGTGTCTACCGCGAGTGGATGGCTCTGCGCATTGACCTGCGCGGCGGTTCTGACCCATTCCAGGCTGCGGCAGCAGCCGCCCATGAACATTTTCACGAAGGCGCGAAGCTGGCCCCGAAGATGAATTGGGCAATCGCGCGCTATGACACGAGTAGCGGCCCAGTCGAAGCAGGCGTCACAGCGCAGGAGTGGCTGCTTTGGCAACTCCAGAACAGAGGAACGGACAGAATCTTGATGGTCGACAGAGAACCCCCGGCGAAAGGAGGGCGGGCCCGCCGCCCCCGGCCCGGCGGGCCCGGAGAAACCGAGGGGGGCCGTGGACAGCATGAAAGACGGACGGTTTAAGAAAGACGTTTTGCGCCCGTAGTTTGAACAATTTGTTTTGGCCCGCGGCAGCTTGCGCCAGTCGCGTGAGAAATGTCTCGGGGAAGCAGGACAAAGGCAAGAACGATGACATCGCATGCAGGCCGTCTTCACCCGGGCCCAACGGCAGCAGGAGCTCGTCTAGGGGCCCTACTGCTGAACAACAGGAGATGGCTGTTTGTCGCTTTCTCGAGCGGCAGATGCCGCGGCCAGCAAAATGGCCATCCTCGTTGCCGCGCGCATAGCACGCAAGCTCCTGAGGAAGCATGGAAATGGGACAAGTTAACCAGCGTTGCCGAGGGCCCGCGAGCCGACATGGGCGCACCCAAGACCAAACTGAATTCGCAGCGGCTAACGTGGCCCAGGCATATTCCGCAGCTGGTTCTGACGCTGGCAGCGCGAAGGGCGGGCAGAAATAAAACCAGCAGCAATGGGAGCGGCAATTGCAGAGGGAAAGCACCGCGCTGAAACTTGGCGGAGAAGGGCGAATATACCCGCGGCGCCCAATGTCGGTTCCGCGCCAACAAACTTGGAGTCCCGTGGCGTCAGCTACTGCGGGCTTGTGGCTCAGCTAGTTGTTTCCTGGTTCACGCTGATCATGGTAATCTTCCACACCACGATCACGGCCATGACCGCGCTACAGCGCGTGCGGTCTGCGTTTGCGCGCGCGCAGGGCTACAGTCAGAGTCTCCGTGGCCACTGGCCACTCCTGGAGAGGACATGTGATGGTCGTGATGCTTGTCCAGCACCATTGATGTCTGGTGCGTACTCCGACGCGTCGATGTCTGTGGATGAGAATCGTTGTTCCAATGCCGCTACCTCTTTAACGCCCGTGCCCCACGTGGGTTCGTCGAGGAAACTGTAGACTCAGCACCTGCCGCGCTCTTAAGTGAGGCAGAAAGGGAGGGCCTTTTTTGTTTATGATTATCACCCTTTTGCCGAGGGACCACCGGGGCATGGCGTGGTGCGAACCCGGGGCCGAGTTGCGTGAGCGGATGCTTCCGCGCCGCGTGGTTTATTGTCCGTTTTCACCATCTCAGTAGAAGTCCCACTGCGAGTCTTCGGAGACCCCGAGTATGGGAAGCCTTGCCCGTCGCGCGACGAGGACAAATGGCTTGGCCCCAAGGAGACAAAGTCAAATCTGGCCTTCTTTCCGAAGGCGGCACTTGCCGAGGCCACGTCCAAGGCATCTGCGCTGGAGAGCGAGGGTTGCACGTGGCAGTTCGGATGGGGGAATGCGACCGAAGGCGACGCAGCCGTCGGGAATCGAAGCAATGACCGCGCCGGCTTGGAGTCCATGCGTTTCATGGTTTACACGTGCTGCGGATTCAATCCCATTGCTGAGCGATAGCTTTGGCGCCAGCGCGACGGGTAAGATCGATGGGGGGGTCTCTTTTGGGAGTGCGCTGAAAATTGAGGGGTCAAGGCCCTTGGTTCAGTTAGCGCGGCGCGTAACAGGTTTAAGGGCGGTCATTGAAGAGCACTTGCAATGCCAGAAACACACTGCACTTTTGGTTTGGGGACGATGCGTGGAACGCGGGCTCAGTTTTTATTGGCCTGCCCGTCGAGCCCCGCACTCACTCCTGCACGACGGACAGATAGTTATTTTGACAGTCGATGGGGAAATGCCATGCCTCGCGCTGCGGGGAAGAGACGCCCAA